GTTTTTTTTTTAGGTTTTCGATTGTTTGCGTATAGTTGCGATTACCGGATTTTCGTCGATCGCGGGTTTTCTTGAAGATTCGTGAAGCTCAATGAAGGCCTTGAGCAAGGCAAGTGACCTTTGATCATCTTGCACCTATAATTTAAATCTAAGTATTTCTTTTCCGCAAATATTGCATGAATAGGATTAACACGAGTATTTCGGCCGCGGCTTGCGAGATAGCCTACCGGCCCCAATCCTAATTGCTGCAATTACCCTCCTTGAATTATTGAACACTTAAACCTCCTTTGTCAACTGTTGTGCTTTGATGCACGGGCCTTCGGGCATGCGCATCGGAACACCTCCCCTCAATTTTAAAATATCCAATGATGGGTAAAACTTGGGGTTTTACAAAAAAACTTGGAAAACCCGACACCAGGGTTGGTGTTTGCAAACTAAATGAATTTCCAATACCACAGACCGGGGGACCTACCGGGAGTACGGTTTCCCGCTCTTGCACTTAAGGACCGTTTCCCTTGGAATTTCATCCGAACATAAGTCTCAAGTGCGACCACATGGGTGGAATGGGACACCCCTAGCTGAGTAATTTGCTAATCGGGAGAACCATGATGCCAAGAGACATGTGGATTCAACGGGGTGGTGCCGGGGAGAACCCTCGGGCTTCCTGGCACAGTATGGTCTGGGACCTAACCTGTTGTCGGTCTGGGACCCCTCTCGTTGGCATATGGTGAACCTGTGTCGGCTTTCGAAATGCCTTGTCGTGAAAGCCCCAAGTCACCAGACGTGTTTGATCCGCACGGGTTAGGTGACCAAGGCTAGTAACGTCGTGTGGGTAAAGTGTACACCCTCTGCAGAGGTTATTAAATTGTTCGAACAGCCGTGCCCACGGTCATGGGCGGACGTGAGGTGATTCCTAGTGTAGTTTTGTTTGATTACTACTTTGTGAAATTGCTGTTGTGGAATGGGTTCGATGTTTGGGAAAATCTCTGTGGCTGATGGGATCAGCTAGGCCCGGGTGGCCGTTTGAAAGTTGTTGGCCGGGTGCCAACCTTGAATCTATTCAAAGACTGATACATTGCACATACTCCGACCGAACGAGACGCACTGTCTCATCTGTGTCGTTTGAGAAGCACTCACTTAGTTGTTTCAAAAAGGAGTTTAACTAAAATCAATTGCAAAAACAACAGCCTTTCCTTTGAAGCCTGCATTAAACACTTAATTCCCATGGCTTGCTGAGTACGAAAGTACTCACCCTTGCTCTATATAAATATATATATATAGTTCCTCCGCCCTGAAGCTGAAGATGAAGTGAAGTGAAGAATAGGGTTTCGTCCTGGTTCCTAGCTATCGTCTGTGGTGTTGGGTGTTAGTCCGTTGGTTCCGTTGCTGCTGCTGCTGTTGTTGGTATTTCCTTGTCCGTGTCATCGGTTGCATTCTCGGGCTGTTCTGAGCTGCAACCTAAGTTAAGGTAAATAAGTCCTCTATTTATTTTAAGGATTGCAATGATTCATATTTGTCACCGTGGGTACCAGCGCTATGTCCTGGGACTGGTACTAAGATCGTGGTTTCGTATGAAGCGGTTCGCGCCGTTTTTCCTACGACACGCTCTTGTCAGGTGCCGTTGTATGGCGGTGCCGGATTGGGGTGTGACAAATCGGCCGATGGGCACTAACAGTCGCCAGTAGTCTGATTCTTGATGGGTTCGGTTAAGGAAATTAATTGAATTAAAGGAAATTTATCCATAAGAGACCGAGTTCAAAAGGAGGATGCAGAGTTTATCTATTAATTAGGAAGAGTCCATTAGTTTCTTGTTATCTTTAGGAGAGTGTGTTTAGTGTCCGATAAGGACTTTATGTTTTCCTTTTTATCTTAGAAAAGTTTCTTTATTATCCAATAAGGACTAGTATCTACCCATGGATATAAATATGTACACATGGAGTCATTGTAAACTATCTCACAGATCAATACAACTACTCTCGGCGCATCGCCACCCTCTTTTTCAAGGTTTTTACTTATCAACCGGCGAAACTTGTCACCTGATGCAAGGCTGCATCGGTTCAGTTCGATCTCCGGTGAAGGGGCAAGTCCTACATTTCGCCGGCCCTAGAGATTGTATCAGCTACATTGATGTTGTTCAAGGTTACATCACTTCGCCCTCTTGGATCACTCTGGATCGGTTGATATATTTACCTACCTATTTATCATATATCTTAGTTAATCTAGATTAGCATCTTAATTTGATCATATCGGCTGAGATTCATTTTAGGGTTTATACTGGTATCGGTTAAATTATCTTGCTAGATTAGATTAACTAAGGTATCCACCACCCTGAAAATCAATCAAAGGCTTGATTGTCTAGATATTATGTTTCTTTTCATACTTAGTGATGCATCAGTTAAGTTTGATCTACTAAGTCGTGCTTAGAACTAAGTCAGTAACTATGAACCATAGATTTCTCTTCCTATTAGGTTTTACTCGAAGAAGCCTGATGTAGCTCGAGCTAGATCATTGTAAGAAACTGTTAACGGCAAAATTTGACAATTGTCGTTAGTCAAGGCAAGTCAAAAGGAGAAGTTGACACTATAAATTTGGCTTGGTACGGTTGGAAAATCTAGGATAGGTTTGGTTAGTTAGATTTTTTTTTAGATTTATTTCTATAGGTAAGACATGTATTAATTTTCCTTTTATTAAGGAGATAGAATCCTAAGCCAGTCGAATCATGTTCGAGCAGACTCGTTTTAGCCCGAGGGTATAAGTATGTATGCCCAGAGTCTTGGTAACTATGACCAGATAAATATATAACTTTCGGCGCATCACCACCATAATTTAGTTTTCTACGAGTTCTTAGTTTCGAGCTGTGTTGCATCAGTTTCGATCTCCGGTGAGAAATAAGTTCCGTCAACTTCGCTTGTATCAATGTAATTAGTACTTTCTCGGTTAAGTCCAATATTCTAATTAAGTTCTTAATTGCGTTTCTTATCTGATATATTGGCTCGTTTCTGGATTGCTTTGCTATCTTGGTTAGATTCAATATATCAATCACTTTATACAGAGTCTATCAGCTTATTTAGATCTATTAAACTTGTCATTAATCTCGTACTATCTCGGTTAGGTCTGATTTATTGGATCTTGATTCGTTAATATATTTGGAAATAAGGAAGGAGGAAGAGGAATTGATAAGAACAATAGGGGAAGCGGAAAACGAAAAAAGATTGATAGATTTTGTCTAAGGTTTCATCGGAGTTTTCAGCCAATGAGTTATCTAAGTTACTATTGATTGAATCACTTCATAGCTAATATTCAACATCATATAAACATTTATTTAAGTCTATCATTATTAGTTTCAATCTTATATTATCTCGGTTTAGCACGATCTATCAAGATTGTCTTTATTAAAGAAAGGATTATTAACAATTATATTTTATTTAGTCTCAGCCGATGATATTATAGTTTGTTTTATATTACATATCTAAAGTCCCATCAGCTACATAGCCATTGATCCGAATTCCATCAGCATTAGCTGGACGCACGATTTCACATCGGCCCCTTGGCCGATCGGCCTTGTGATTTAATTTATCTATCTTGTTAGTCGTAGGATCACACTAACTGGCACGTTCTGGACCTGATTTTAGGACCAGCATTAGAATTAAGCAGATCTCTCAGACCTTCATGTGTTGCGTCAGATTTTCCATCAACATAAACTTTAGATAAATGTTTGCCAAAAGAGAGCCGCAATAAATATTTTCCACTTGAAATCTTCCTCTCTATGAGTAAAAAGTGAAACAACAATAAAACTGATATGATGCCAAATACTGGGATCAATACTCTGACCAAGTGGTATTGTATTTGTTTTCTCTGGAAATCAGTATAGCAAGGGGGCATATGCAGATCTGGCAATCCTCCACAGAGGTACAATTGCCGTTGAGTGGTATTGCCGTAGAATTTTTTAATACCCCATTAGTTGGTACTTCTCCTTTGAGGTTGTTGTCCGATAGGTCTAACTGGGTGAGAAATGGGTGAGAACTTGTAGATTATCTATGGCCATATGGATGGTACCCGACAAATTGTTGTGGGAAAGGTTGAGAATGCTCAAGCTCTTCATGTTGCTCAACGATATCGGAATTTTACCTGTGAGAAAGTTATGGTCCGTGCGAATTGTTTCTATCTCTGAAATTGCCCCCAAACTGTCGGGAATATGCCCCGTTAGATGAAAGGTGTAGCTCTGAGAGTTGTCGAAGATTACCATCTAAATCGTTATGGGTCAATGCACATACTATCATTGTTGCTACACTGATGAATAACTCCTTATGTATATATGCTACCATGGAGATTATTGAAACTAACATCCAATTTGACTAGGTACTGAAGGTTTCCCAAGCTAGGCGGTATGTAACCCGTGAATCCATTTGCTCCTAGAAAGAGTGTTGCTAATTGGTTGAGATTGCCAATAGATGGAGGGATTGGCCCAATAAAGTCGTTCTCACCAAGATTTAAATGTACGAGTTGTGTTAGCTTCCCAATCCACTCGTCAATTGGACCAGTCAGATTGTTGAAATCTAGCCCTAGCCAGGTTAAGTTTTGAAGGTTCCCTATACTCAGAGGAACTATGCCAGATAGTTTGTTTGCACTAAATACGAGACTCTGAAGATTGGATGATAGGTTGCCAATTGAATCTGGTATATGTCCTTCTAGCTGATTTTGTGATAGTGAGAAATCTTGTAGATAACTACAGTTCCCTAGTGCATGTAAGAATTCCCAGCTATCACTGTCACTTGCTTCAAGCCTGTTACTCCCTAGGTCTAAGAAATTTAGGTTGGAAAGCTTTCCCAAAGGAGGAATTTTCCCAACGAATGCATTGTTTAAGAACATTATTATTTGTAGCCCTGAAGCATTACCTAAAGAAGCTGGAATTTGACCTTCAAACATATTGTTACCCAAGTACTTCGAGATTGGAGAGGGCATCACCAATGTTAGGTGGCAATGCTTTGCTTAGCATATTGTACTCCAAACCTAATCTTTGTAGAGAAGATATATTATGGAGGGTTTGTGGTATTCCACCTGACAAATTATTTTCACCGAGCACCAATTGCATAAGATTCGGCAATTGCCAAATCTTATCGGGAATGCTTCCACTTAGTTGATTTTGAAAAAGATAAAGTATTTCTAATGACGTAATGTCTCCTATGGTTTGCAGGACGGTCCCGGTGAGATTGTTCTGATCAAGATCCAAATACTCTAGGTTCGAAAGTAAGCTTATGTTCGCAGGAATCGCACCAACTAGAAGGTTTGTGGAGAGGTCCAGGTATGACAAGCTGGAAGAATTTGTAAGTGAGACTGGAATAGCCCCGTGCAAACTGTTGCTTCCTAGGATAAGGTTTTTCAGTTGTTGGAGCCGGTTAAGAAGAGGCAACGGGCCAAAGAAATTATTATAGGAGAGGTCCAGATAATTAAGGAAGGTCAGGTTTCCGAGAGAGGAGCTAATTTGGCCACCCAAGCTTAGACCAGTGAGGTTAAGCCCTGAGACGCGCCATGGTCGCGTTTGGGTGCACATGACGCCCGTCCACTTACAGTAGTGGGTGCTGGTGTTCCAGGACTTCAAGGCTTCATTTGGATCACTAGAGATGCCCTGCTTGAAGTCGAGCAGCGAGTGGAGATCGATGCTGCTCCTATGAACTGGTGAGCAATGGATGTTTCCAAATCCGTAACACAGCAATAGCAGCGGCAGCGGCAGCAGCAATGCCGATGGAACAACCATGGTATGTTTTGTTATGTAAGGGCTTGGTATCTCTGTTATGACCTGAAAAGGATAAGCCAAAAACATTCTCATGAACATAAATAGTCTCTGCAAGGTTGTTCTTCTACCAGCGGAAACGACCTAATCCATTGATCTCTTGATTAGACATTTATACTCTTGTACTACTGATTAAGGTGATAGGATAAATTGACATATTCCATTGAATGAGAAAATATGGAAAATTTAGATTGATTATAATATCCATAAATATCACAGTAAAAGTTGTTTCTCCAATATATATATACTAGTAATATGCATGTCCTAACGCTACAACAATATTTTAAAAATGCAAATCAAACAATAAAAAAAGTCATATGTTTGAAAATCAGGCATAGAATGGTGCCCGTGCAAGGCACATCGGAACAACGAAAAATTAATCCTGACATGTTTCATAATTGTAATCATTCCATAGCTCATAATAGATGTATAAGAAATTATGTTTAGAAAACTTTTTTTAAGCACCGTAAGTAAAGGTTAAAAAAACTAATTACCTTTCTTGGAGCGATCAAGCTAGATGGCAGATTTTCTTCCCCCCCGGAGATTTGCCTCCTAAAATAGAGTATATACGAGTCTTTTCTCGTGTGTGGTTGTGCCAGGCCCCATGGCCAAGGGTTTAAAAACACTTCGAAAATAACATTGCATTACATCCGCGTGCTTCGTTTCTCAAATCGCCGTGCCGTGGATTGACCGCTTATGCTGATAGCTGACATACAAATCCAGTCATACAGGACAAAGGACGAGATGTTGAGGCATCTTAACATTCGTCGTACGTCCCCGGAAGTCCAGTACAATATACGTCCTCTTCTCCCTGTTGCCGTCTTGATAAATGACATGCTGACTTATCTTGCTCAGTAGCTGGAACTGGAATTCGGGAAGGGAAAGCTCAAGGATGCATCATCCACAAGATAATAAATAGCGTATAGCGGGTTGGTAGTGGATTAGTGTTTGAATAGCGAATTGCGGATAGTAGGTGCTATTGCGGATGCTAAGTTCCAAGAGCAAAATTAAGAAAAATAACTGTATATCAATATTAACATCAAGTTTTAGTTAAAGTTTAAAATTTAGACTACACGTTTAATAGCGATCTAATAAAGTCAATAGTGGGCCGCTATAGCGGCCGCGAAGCGCTATAACGGCCGTTAAGTTCCAATACGCTATTTGCAGTCCACTACCCTGTAGCGGTAGAGGTCCGCTACAGCTATATAGTGGCCGCTATTACGGGCGCTATAAACGCTATTTATTACCTTAATCATCCATGCAAATTGGGCTTCTTATCTTCTCGCCTGCGGCTGTGGAGCGAGCTCCCCGTGCCATGTCGGCTATCGACAGCGGCATGCTTGAGGTCGAACATCTTCTTTCGTCCAAGTCACCAACACGGAGTCACGGACTCACCGGCTGATTGAGCTTGCTGCAAGCCTCCAACCAGCCCACTGTTCGCTGGTAAGAAATCTGAAGTCTGAACCTGTACCAACCTATTGACCGGATTGCCCGCCCACTCTGAATCTGAAGCTTCGTGCATCGATCGATCGTTTAGAGAAACCTATTCGCCTTGTGTTTATTCAACAGAATCCAAATTTGATCCGATGAAATCAAGAAAGTAACTAGAGATCCAAAGCATGTTTCTTTCGGGAAGAAAAAAAGAGAGAAAAAGAAGAAGATTGGAAGGAGTACTTACTCCGACGATATCCAATCTCCTCGGAAACAACGATCGACATACTCACCCCCATGCACGTAGCTCCTCGTACTCCTGTCAATGGCGAACGGCCACCTCGGGGCATCCAGGACGGGACGCCGTCGGGAGGAAGCGCGAGGAGACGGAGTTGCAAGCCAGCCCGTTCCATTGGGTCACGACGCGCAGCCCACGTCAGCACCTAAAAGTCTTAAATGGGCCTGAACACTTAAATGGGCCGAATTTACTTTAGCCTCCCTTGTAAAGCTTTTCTCTTTTTTTTTTTTTGAGAATTTCTTGTAAAACATTAGATCTTGGCTGGATCACAGCGACATGGGATCCCAACAAGCGAGAGAGGAGGACGCTGATCCGCCGCCGCCGCCGACGACGACGACGAGGCTGCCCTTTCTATTCAACCTGTCGCGCGGGGAGCTAGTACGGCGGCAGCGTTTGATCGACGAGGCGGTGGAACGGCTGCGCCGCTGCGGCTGCGACATTCGTCGCTGCAGGGGAGGCGGGGTCCCATGCCCTGAACGGCGGTACGTCTTCGATCTCAATTCTCATGCCATGTTTGCGCCTCCATTGATCATCGTCTACAGCTAGCTCGTCACGATCGATCTGCAAGTTTTCCCTATGTTGATTGATTGTTTAGATCTCAAGCGGTTTGGCTCGGGCCGGGGCCGTTTGGAAAATTGAACTTGCAATTCCTCTCACGATTCCATTAAAAAAAAATCCTCTCACGATATATTGTTGTGTGCCACAGCATAATGGTCATAGAAAAGAACTTTTTTTAAGAGAGAGAGAGAGAGAGAGAGAATAGATTTTATAAAACCCAATCTATTGTAGTCTCACAAAACTATATAAATTTTGACACAACCACATCATTAACAAATTTGACATACTTTTATATCACAATTTTAAGAAGCTTTACTTATATGGATGTAACATTTATATACAACAGATAAAAAAACTCATAAATTTGATATGTGATTGTTGATTGTAGACCTCAAACGTGTAGTAGATCAAAGTTAAAATAAATATTAGGAAAGGGCCTAATATCAAATAATTAGAAGGGGTAAAGCTTCGAACCCAGGTCGTTTAGCCCACCACCTTGTGGAGCTAGCCGAAAAACCCCTAGGTGTTTCTCCGATCAAAGTTAAAATGATAAATAGTTTAGTTTCGTGAAACTTTATAGCCCATAATACCAACCCAGGGTTATGTGATACATGCCAAAACCTTTGTGATTTTGTACAACTTAATTAGACCATAATATCTAAGGTTGCGTAATTTTTTTCTTTTAACAACTCGCACGAGACGGTGCGAAGTTCTATTGATAGAGCAGAAAAAAAATACAAGATTACAATACTGGAAGGTCATAACCAGGAAAAAGAAAAAAATATATACCACCATCCACATATCGACAGCGCAAACACACATATCTGGGAGAAGGCTAGCACTGGATCGGCCGCTGCTAAGCGTGACCGACCACCCTAGGCCAATAAAAGAACACAGACGAGAACGAAAAAAAAATGTCCTTACAACCAACACGAAAGGTTGCGTAAAATTTAGAATTACTCTCGTTGCTGGACTAATTTCTTGTTGGATACTTTTTCGAATTGCGTTTTGTTTTTGAATTTAACAATATAAGTGCATCGAGCAGTGATAGGGTTTTTTTTGGAAGGAAGCATATTTCTTCATTTTCTTAAGATGAGGAGTATATGTAGCGGTAACAATAATTCCGCACTTGCAATTGCAGGCAAGCTGAACTCTCCTTGATCGTCGACCATGTCAACCGCGCTCTCCATCACTACAACGCTAACAATCCTGTAAGCACCTCACTACGTACATAACTGCAGTAACAACTGAATATGTATGGATGCAAAACCGATGATTAGCAATGTACTTAAACGAAACCATGTTACTGACATAGTAGCAACATTTTTCCAGGGCGCCGAGTTCGACCTGTCAAGGCTCTGGGTTATGCGTCCGTCAGCTTCAGACGCGCGCTCTGGGTTCATGTCAGCTTCCTGGCTCGCAGGAGGAGCAGCCCGGTGAAGCCAGCCGATGAAGCAGCAGCTGCTGCTGCCGATGATGACGAATCCGACGTGAAAAGAGGCCGCAAGCGACGCTCCCGCAACAAGCGCAACAGGGCTCCTCCCGAGTCACCCGACAAGCAGTTCTTCGCCGAGCTACGCTACGACGACTACGACTCTGCGACCGTTGTGACCTGCACCATCATCGGTAAGTCACGGCTCATGTTACGGATTTATTGAATTTCATAAACTGCATTTATCGTGTGTTGGTTTGGTGCCTAATTTATGTCACTCTCTGCTATGCCGACTCTCTGATGTCAGCTGCTAATGATTTTACTCTCATAACAAGGATCCTAATTTATGACTTCTGTTTTCCTACTCTATCAACAGATAAGAGTAAACCGCACGGCTACAAGACGAAGTGTGAATTTTGCCCCGCCAGCTATGGGATTTTGCACCCGGGCGACGGGAAATTTGTGTGCGGGAAGAGGAACCAGAGGGATGAGTTCTTCCTGTTGCGGAATCGACTTCTGAGTTCTGACGCCATATACATGGCCCAAGAAAGAAGCCGATAAGGAGCCACCATGTCCAGGGCTGGGCCGAAGCAACCTGGGCTGGGGCCAGTACGCCCTTGATGTTTTCAGAAAATTCTCTTCAAGGTTTTTGTTCTCTTTTGTTTCTAAGCTACTTCCTAGATCAAGGAGTGAAGAATGCAGCAATGCCTATCTATATATCTATCTATCTATTATATTATTAAAACAGCTCGACTAATCGACTAATCTATATAGAAATACAATTTAGAAACAGTTGAAATTCGGAATTAAAAGATAAGGAATATTAGAAGAGGAGACTAGAGTCTATATAGAAATACAATTTAGAAATCGTTAAAATTTGGAATTAAAAAATAAGGAATATTAGAGAGGAAACTAGAGTCCATATAGAAATACAATTAGGAAATAACTGAAATTTGGAATTAAAAATAAGGAATATTAGAAGTAGAGTATAAAGTCCATATAGAAATACAATTAAGAAAAAAAATAGAAATTCGGAATTAAAAATAAAGAATATTAGAAGTAGAGTATAGATTTATATAGAAATACAATTAAGAAAAAAAATAGAAATTCGGAATTAAAAAATAAGGAATATTAGAAGTAGAGTATAGAGTCCATATAGGAATTTAAATCTAACAAAAATTCGGAATAAACATAATAAAATTAAAAGTAGTGTTTTGATTCGTATAAAAATACAATTTATAAATAACTAAAATTCAAAATTAAGAAAAACATCGGAAGAAGAGTTTAAAGTCAGTATAGGAATACAATTTAGAAGTAATTAAAATTTGAAATTAAAAATTAAAGAATATTGAAAGATAAGTTTAGAGTCCACATAGAAATTCAATTAGAAATAATAAAAATTCAAAATTAAAAAGATATATTAAAAGATGAGTCTAGAGTCTATATAGGAATATATATAATTTACAAATAACTAAAATTTGATATTAAAAATAATTCATAACTAACACGTATATAAAATACAATAGGAACATTACATATTAAAATTTAAAATTATGTTGTCATTTTAATATATTTAAATAATATAATGAGAAAACATATATGCTATTATATGAGAGAAAATATAATGATGTTAGTCGCGCAATCTGCGCAGGCCACAATGCTAGTTGAATTTAATAAGATTTTTTTCTATACATTCCAGCATCTACACTAATCACAGATGCACACGGTCATAATTATCGACACCAGGACTTGAACTAGAGTTCTCTAGCGGGTGGGTAGAGTCGTGAACCCAACGAGGAGCTGGAGTTCTATCATTCTATTCTATCTTTCTAGTTTGTTGGCTTTGAATCTGAATGAATATGCAAATGAGAGGCTTACCCTAGGTAATATCCATTTACATAATATCAGGTTTTTCTCCACACACAAAAAAGAATTCTCAGGTTAAAGCACTCTCCAGTCTCCAAGCAAGTGGACACAGGCATTTTGATGCCTTTTGTACTGTTTCCACCTCGTCTTTGGGCCTGTACCGTCCTAGTCAATTGCTTCACTGAGTTATATTGGTCCAATCGAAATGCATTCCCTTTGCAAGGCCCAAATCAAGGTTATGTCCAAAGCCAATATTCTCTGTTTGAGCCGAGATGGATTTAAAAGTAGGACAAGCTGTCCATAACAAGAAACTAGTAGTAATACACTTTCATGATGGGACTAAAAATAAGCACCCAAGTTGAGCTGACAAAAGATGCATAGCTCCATGATTAAGACAGATACTAAGCACCAAATTCAACTCGTTCCTGCACAGACCGAACAGGATATGACTCTCGCCTGATGACACCGTCCCAGATCGATGCTTCCCCACGTGTGAGCCCCTTCCAAATCACGTGCTGTTGATTGCTATCAACGAGAGAGAGAGAGAGAGATTAGCGAGCCGTTGGAATAGAAAAAAGTGGAAGAAATCGTGAACAGAACGGCCGGGGATGATCATGCGGGCATCTGACGTTTGCCGCGACACCGACGCATCGGAGAAAGAACATATTACTTTTCATAGGATTTGGTATATATCTGACGTCTGTTCTCGCGTGCCATCCGGCTTACGTCCACCGGCGTTTTGTACCTCCAAATTAAACTGCAAGGGGATGGCTTAGTGAGGAGTGAGGTCAGAGCTGAAGCTTTTGCAAAGAAAAAAGGGTTAACGGATGCGTTATGCAGATTAATTACGCGCTTAAGTTTTTTTTTTTTGAAAAATTTTCAGCTGAAAAGAAGTACTGCCAACATCCATCAGTTTCTTTTGTAGGGAGGGGGGAGGTTACACAAATTACATAACTTGACCGATTCTTAGGGACAGTTTTTTTTTCACATTGGTGAAATCAGCAAAATAATATTACATCTATTTTTAAATATATGACATTATTTACTTTTATTCATGTTTCCATCGTTCGTTTATTAAAAATTTAGTATAAAACATAAGACATGTTTAGAGCACCTTTAATGGTAAAAGTCGCAACAAAACAAGTAATGTTTTTATAATTTTTAAGTAAAATGAATTGTCAAACATATATTTAAAATCAAATATGGGAGGGAGTACAGATGAGCTGGTATGCGGATGACTAGTGCATGTTGATATGTTTATTTATCTTAAAATAAGATATGTGAGTGACTAGAGCGTTTCAATTGTTTATTTTATTTAAAATAAGAGATGTGAGCGAAAACTACCAATTGTGTACTTATACTTTCATCATTACACGTATTTGGTAACGTCATGTAGTTTATCATAGTGATTGGGAAAGTGATAGTAACTAACCAACTACAACTTATTGTCACAAATACCACATAGTGACATTTCGTTGAGAGCAGTGCTGCATCTACTAGACTACTCCAAGTATCATATATTAGTTCTAAAAAAATGTATCATATATTCATACATAATTCTGGGAATGCATTTTATATCAAAGTTGTGAGCCACATTCACTAAGTGAGAGAAGGACACACTACTAGCTTATCCACAACAAAATGTTCCGTTCAAAATTAAATTTTTGCATTCATTCAATCATTCATTCAGTAAGGCTCTTATGTTTAGCTTGTAATAAGTAGTTGTAGTTTCTATTAAAGCAATGACCAATTTATCCATTGTCTTAAAACACTTAGGCTTGTCCTATCAATCAATCTCGTTAGTCTAAAAAGATTATAATCGTCGTATTCAAGGTTATACTGATCATTAACTTTTATATGCCGAAACAAAATTTCAATGCATTTCATTTTTTTTTCACAGAAGTAATATACTAACAACAAAAAATGTGGGGGCGTAAAAGTGTGAAGGTGTTATTATTTAGCCAATATATCTAGTTGAACGAGTCGATGGTTTAAGAACAACACAATGACAAAGACGACTATATTAAAATTAAAAATACAAATATGTACTAAATTTACTGGTTTACTACAATTGGCGTCTCTATCATAGAATCGTGGATATATATATGCTACGCTTATTGATAAATGTTTAGTCTCACAACTGTATGCTAACAAATGTTTAATTAATTATTGAGTGCTATAAAGCCAATGGAACGCAAAAACATTTCTCCATTTGGAGCCCGAAAAGTGTTCATACTCAGGAAACAGAGATTTGGTGCGGAACACTTTCGCCTGTGTTATTAACATAAGGCGTTCTCACATCACGTCACTAACCTAACAACCCTATGACGTGCCCATGTACCCGTTGCAGATTAGCCCTCCTCCCGTCGGCTACGGGCTACCCACCCACAGAGAAATCACCCCAAAAATGCACCCCGCTTTCCCGCGGCTTAAAAACCTTTCCATCTCCAACCGCCCTCCCGTTCCTCCTCCTCCTCGCCTGCTTCCGTTGAGCCAGTCAGCCTCCTCCCTTGCCGCGCCTGCCTTCCTAGACCACTCACCAAACCAAACCCCCACGACAACTCAACAGGTCACACGAATCAGTCCAGGCACGACCACCATGTCCATGACCTCGCCCCACCTCGCCGACTCAGCTCCGGTGGCGCAGGATGATTTGATCGAGTAGAGTGGTGTGAGAGTGAGAGGTGCGAGGAGGTTAATTAGGAGAGTATGGCGCTGTGGCTGAAGCTGTTCTTGTCCGTGTTCCTGCCGGTCGCGGCGCTGGTCGCGGTGGCTGTTCTTGTTTACCGGCGGCGGAGCTCGTCGTCGCGGAACGCGCAGCCTGAGCTGCCGGAGAGTGTGGCTGGTGGTGGTGGAGGAGGGGATCCGGCGGTGAGCCCCGGGTTGGGGAAGCTGAATATCAGGTACAACGCCACGAGTGGCCGCGCGGGGCTCCGGTTCCAGCAGTTGCACCATCACCACCATGGGCATGTCGATGTGAGGCATCATCACCGGGGCGGCGCCGGCGCCGGCGGCGCGCAGCAGGGGCCGTTCCAGTGGGCGGACCACCCGCGGCTGGTGACGGAGGCGGCGGAGAACGGGTGGGCGCAGTTCGTGTTCGCCGTGGCGCCGCCGCGGACGAGGTCGGCGTCGTCGTCGCCGCTGTGGGGGCTCTGCCCCGCCTGCGACTCCGGGACCAGCCGCGACATGGCGGACACCGCGTGGGAGGTGCCCGCGGGGTCGTCGGAGCGGATGCAGGCGGTGCGGCTCAACCCGGTGGTGGCCGCGGCGGCGGCGGCCGTCTCGGCGTCCACCAAGAAGTGGCTCCCCGGGAGCATCCCGAGCCCGCTCCGCGGCGGCGACCACGATGCGGCGGGGAACAGCAGCGCCCTGTGCCTCGCCAGGATGAGCCTGCCGCTGCCCGGCCCGCCCCTCGCCGGCGCGCCGTTCCCGCAGGACGCCTACTTCGAGATCACCATCATCTACCTCAACACGCGGCGGCCGGAGTGGTCGGCGTCGAGGGCGAGCCGCCGCGGCAGGGACGGCTCCAGCGAGAGCGACCGCGCCAAGCTCATCAGCTTTGCACCGGACGCCAAGAACGCGGTCCAAGAAACCAGAGCCGCCACGAAAGTCGACGATCACCACGACAAGCAGCGGCACACGGTCATGTCGTTCGGCCTCGCCACCGCCGCGTCCGCCGCGCCGCCACGGCCGTCGCTGGCCGGAACGTACGCGTCGTCCATCGGCTTCCACTCCAACGGCGCGGTCTACCTCGACGGTAACAAGAATTCTCTTTCTCGCGTTGCAACCGTGGAAATCTTGAGCTGAAAATTCTGCGGATTTTGATGGCAGGGATGAAGCTGGTGTACGAGTCGGAGAAGTCGTCGTGGGCGGGGGTGGACAAGGTGGTGGGCTGCGGCTTCGAGCCGGCGAAGCGGAAGGTGTTCTTCACGGTGGACGGGCAGCTGGTCCACGCCGTGAGCTGCAACGCCGACGCGTTCTCCACCCCGATGTACCCGGTCCTCGCCTCCAGCTTCGACGTGATGGCGCTGGTCAACCTCGGGCAGGGCAAGTTCCGGTACGCGCCGGCGAACGCGCGGCGCACGGCGAACCCGTGCTTCCTCCGCGCCGCGTCGGCGGGGGACGACGGCCGGAGCGGCGGTTCGCTGGGCCTCGACTTCGACGACAGCGGCGACCTCTTCTCCATGGGCCGCGTCGACTCCGGCTGGCTGGAGACGGCGTCGCGGATGAGCAAGAGCAGGAAGGAGAACGGCGGCGGCGGCGGCGCGTCGGCCGGCGACCCGGACGCCGACTCCGACCTGTTCGAGATCTCATTACGAGACTGACATAAGCAATGATGAGAGGGACAGGTGGCTCACTTGTCAAACAGGAATTAGCAGCAGTTAATGGCTGATTCTGACAATATGCTTAGGAGTTAGGACATCGCGGCTGCAGTTTTCCATGGATGTTTGTATCTTCTAGATGTTGTTACCTAGATGTAAACATGTAAAAAGGTCAAAAGATTAAAAGGATGGAAAAGGTTGTCTTATATAGTGAGCTTCTGATTTATTTATTTTTTTTGAGAACAGAGCTTCTGATTCGTTCTTCTTTTTTTTTTTCTCCCCTTTCATTCTTTTTGCTTTTTCTTTGGGGTGTAAAGATGTAGGGCTGGAGCCTGGAGGTAGATTCTGTAACTATAATCTGGAATAAAGATGAGAAAAGGATCGGGGAAGAGCTTCAATTTCAAAAAAATAAAAGACTCAGTTGTTGAAGTACAAAATTGCATGGCTGAGAATGGCATCTTCTTCTGTCCTTGATCATTTGTACTATCAGTTCCTACGGTTGCAAACTTGCAAAAAGCAAAACTTTGACAAATTAGTGAAACAAGTTTGTGATGAAGTTTAAGGTACAATACATGAACGCGTCACACGCAGATCAACTTTCAACGCAGGCGCAGAAACAGTTTAGTGTTACAAAGGATAACCATGGCAAGAAAAGTATACATGGAATTTGGATGAGCTGCAGGTCAAGAAAGCAGCACTGCAGCAGTCTGAATTGGACCAAGAACACAAGCAAACAGTAAACTTGTGGTGATAAACAGATAACTATAACCAAATGGGAAGGAGACGAAATCTCAGTCCCCTTCAGAAACCAAACGCGGCGTGAAGGATCTGAAACCATTCTACAAGTTGCCATTTGGCCTGCATTACAACCCAAAGAAAGCCTACTTCCTCCGTCCTAAAATGTAAGTATTTTTGAGGTTGGCACGGTATTAAGAAAGTAGATGAGAATGATTGAAGAAGGTGTGTGATTGGTTGAAAAGAGAAAATAGGTAAAAAAAGAATAGTTGTGATTGGTTGAGAGGAGAAGGTAGGTAGAAAAATAGCTTTATTTTAGAACAAAGTACTGTGCTAGAAATAGCTATATTTTGGGACGGATGTATTACAGGATAAGACACGATAACATGGCTACGTTGCCGAATAACGCTATCCAGCAACAAAAGGTACAAGGCAGAGTACATGACTGACAAGTGACAAACAATTGCCATCATCAGTCTATCAGCAGCAGAAAAATAACACAAAAAAAATGAAAGAAAAAGACAAGCTCTTGCCGTCCCAGGCATCACCGGGCCTGGATGAGTTCCTGTCTGCAACCTGAATGATAATCTAATTATTGGAGCAGAACTGCATCCAGGTGTCTGCAACTGCAACGCAAATGACTCGAGGAATATAAAGCCTTGAGAAAATTGTCAGTAGCATGCAGACGCAGTGATGCCGTTCTTTTGTATTTGACGCAAGTATATTAGTGCTTCAGACTTTTGTTTGTTTTTGGGATCGGTCAGCGTCTGGAAACCCCAGTGGCTTGATGGTGTTGCCTTCTATCCTGTCACGGCCGCCTTTAGAATATCTGAATATGGCCATCCTTTGTGCTGCTGACTCGGGATAAGTTTTGACGTATTGCTTCTAGATGATGAGGCCTACGCCAATTGTGCTTCTTTCTGTTGAGATCAGCTGGGCCGGTGATGTACTGTACACCTCGTAAATGATTACGACAATCACCGGCATGATTTTTTATTTATTTGAAAGGAAAGCATGATTGGTATTTTTCAGCTGTTTATAAAGTAAATATAGTAGTAGTATACTATGCAAAGTCAGAAGGTCACATCCCTGTGATGAGAGAATCCTTCTTGGGATGAGTACTGGTGGCGACCTCACCCTACCTAAAAGAATCTTGAAATGCTTTTGCATTCAAATGGCTACAACTACGGGGCAACTAACAGTAGATCGCTATTGTGGTTTCAAAAGGCACAATGGATATCTGCCTCTGCAGTATCAGAATTCAGAAGCAATCCATCTCCAATGCTTTTTATTTGTGAATTTGTGATATATTTTTTTTTTCCAAAATCTCTACTTCTGTACCTGTAATCTCATGTCGGTGTATGGATTTTTCCAAACAGTATAGAGAGGTCTTGAAACTTGGAGCCGCTCAGACAGAAAAAAAGAATTGCATGTACGTATTCCAGTGAACAAGAACAAATTTTTAACTTATTAAATTAACATTTACACAACCATGGAGGCCATAAATACAAAAAGAAAATTTGTCCATGTCAAGGAAAACCGATACAGATCATGTGCTCAGAGTCTCTTACCACAAGTCATCAGTCTCTGTGACAGAATACGTGTCCAAAAAGGTTGCACCCTAAGGAACAGGAATGCTCAACAAACAGAACAAGCTCGTTCGTTCAAAGTCGAAATCTCCAGTGACAGCATAGTGGTGGAGCGCTACTAGATTTTGCAAGCTTTTACCAGCACAGTGCATCCACCAGATCAGCAGCATGACCTAGCTGCCTTCCACTTTCTTTCTGAACATTATCCTGCCCAGCAAGCTGGGGCTCCGTCTCTTCTTCTTGAGATCAGCAGAAATAATCTCTTGGGATGGCTCTGGGAAGATCGGATGAACAACGGTTTGTGTTAATTCCTCTTCGACAGCTTTGAGGGCAGCATTAACACTACCATCTTGTGCTACGCTTTTCCGTGATGCAGCATCAGGCTCTTTCTTGGAGTGCACCTCTTTGGTTGCAGGAGAAATGGCATCCTCAGTGCTGGAGTCCTCCCCTTCAGCAAGAATGCATGCAAGTGACTGGGGCTTGTAGTCAGATGAGCTTGGTCTGGAGTTGGACATTGGGCTGTCTAGATTGCCTGAAACCGCCGGACTCTTGAGAGCTCGCAGCTGCCTGCTTAGATTTGTGATGGTTTCCTGACACTCTGCAAGCTTCTCAGCCGCTGCTGATATCTCTGAACTCTGCATAAGCTCAAATTTTGTGATTAAGTTCTGACGAACGTATTATGTATGGATGAGAATGGTGAAAAAAGCATACCAGATACCTATATGATTGATATGCATATGATTACTGAAAATTATAGGAGCAACAGAGAAACTTACTGATGCTAAATGCTTTTCCTCTTTCTCTGCCAGGGTTTCAGCACTTGGATGATCATGGGGGCTGCATTTAAAAAAACGGCATGATGGGACACAATTTCTCAGTAGCAGTAAAATTGGTACTCTAACTTAATTGCAGTAACTTAATTTCTCAGTAATTTAAAGGGTAACACAATTTTTCACCATTCTCATCTAACTTAATTGCACATGAACAGATTATTATTAAATGTGTTCAGTGTTAGTTACCTTTCTATCTCACAGGATGCTGAGTTCTCCTGACTGATTTTCTCGTCCTGGTCTAGTATAACTCTTGTGAGTTCTTCATCAAGTTGACTCTCTTCTTGGTTAACCAAAATATGATCTGTTTTTCGGCCTTCTACCGACTGAATTGATTCTTCCAGTGCTTCAGTTTGTATGTCTGGAGCAGATGATGATTTCGGACTTTTTATGTCACATCCACCATTCATGTTACCAAATGATTCCTCTCCATCCAAATTCTCTGTATTATTATTCACAGTGTCTGGTTGTTCTTGGAATGATATATTCTTGTACTGGTTGATTATATACTCTAGAACCAAACAAACCTCATGCACAAACTTTTCAAGGTCAGTTTTACCATGCAGTAGATCATGACAGACATGGACCAAATGCTCAAGGCGAGCACAAAATTCAGACCTGTCAAGCAGCAATTTTTGAGAACTTGCAACATTGCCTTCTTCAGATATGCCAATAACAGAGGTGATCTTTTCAGTCAGGCTGAACACCATTTCCTTCATTATGCTCCAGTCATATGATCCATTCAAATCATCTCCTTTCTGATTATTAGCACTCTGATCCAATGCACGAGTTATCTCCTCAAGAATTGTGTCAATGTTTTCCCCACTGGTTTCATGCTTCTGCATCACAAGCTTGCACATATCCTGAACCCATTCAGGCTGGCCATTGGAGATAGAGATACCATTTTCTAGGACAGTGTCTTTATCATTCTTCTCTGAAGAAATCGCTTCCGAATGCGCATTCTTGGGCGATCTCAATCCTTGGCCACCTGAAGCCATCTCCAACCTCTCGATCTCGGCGAAATCGTCGAGCAAGCTCATCTCAGATGCTGCTGCTCCCTGCAGCTTCGCGGCCCTGAACTGCTCCAGCTCGGAGATCAGCGCGGAGGCCCACGACTCCGTCTGGCCATGGGCGTCGCTCAGCTGCTTGTTCTCCTCGGTCAGCTCGCTGAGCTGCCGCTGCAGCACGGAGAGCTTGCACGCCTCGTCGGCGTACTTCATCTGCACGAACTGCAGCTCGGCGTCCCTCTTCGCCAGCGTCTGCTTCAGCGCCTTGTTCTCGTCCTCGACGGCGCGCAGCTTGGCCGCCGCCGCGGGCGTCTCGTGCTCCGCCGCGGCGGCACGGCGCGGCGTCATCGGCCGCGCCGACATGGGCGTCATTGGCCGCGCTGACATGGTGGGAGTCATCGGCCGCGCCGACGTCGACATGGGTGTCATCGGCGCCGCCGGCGCCACGGACCGCGGCGACATCGGCGCCACGGAGCGCGACCTTCTGGGTGTCGCCGGCTGGTCCACCTCGTCCCTCATCTTGGCGATGGCGGCGGGGCCCGGGAGGCGCTTCCGCACCATGGCGCGCAGCCGCTGGCACTCGCCCTCCAGCAGCGCGATCTTCTTCTGGCTCTCCGCCTGCTGCCGGCGCGACGCGTCGACGGACTGGAGGTCGTACTCCCGCTCCTGGCCCCTGATCTCCAGCTCCTTCTGCAGCATCCGCACCTCGTACTGCAGCGACGCCGCCTGCTTCTGCGCCGCGTCCAGCCTCGCCCTCGCGCCGGCGAGCTCGCCGTCGGAGGCCGACTTGGACTCCCTCAGCTCGCCGATCGCCGCGTCCTTGGCGTCGAGGGCCTTGGCGAGGCTGCTGTTCTCGGCGGCGAGCTTCGCGGCCTTCTTGGTCGCGGCGTCGAGCTTCCGCTGGAGCTCCCGCGCTTTCTTCTTCTCCGAGGAGATCTCGCTGGCCGCCTCCACGATGATCTGCTCCCGCTCCTCCCTGGCGATGAGCAGCTGCTCCATGCAGGATCTCAGAGCTCCTTCCATCTCCGACATTGTTCCCTCTACGATTCTTCAGTTCTTCACTTGAAATGTACCAACCACCAACTCAACAGGATCTTCAGTTCTTCACTTCAAGTTTCATCGTTTCGTCCACTGCTGATTATAAACCGTAACACTTATTAGTGAAAACAATAATTTATGTGTAAATTTTTTAAACGTGTTCCTCGTGATTTAAAAGCCAATATAACTACGATAAAACATAAAAAACAACTCTGAATTTAAGTTTTTTAATTTAAATTTTGGCCGCGGTTGATGAGCTGAAAAGCAAATGATGGAGCATTCAAGTCTTAAATATTAAAATTACTTCATCCGTTTTACAATGTAAGTCATTTTAGCATTTTATACATTCATATTGAAGTTATATATGTCTAGATTCATTAACTTCAATATAAATGTGAGAAATGTTAGAATGACTTACGTTGTGAAACGGAGGGAGTATCTTTTTTAGATCATGGAATAAGTATCCTAGTCTCTGAATCATCTTATGCACATAGCATTCTTTCGAAAAAGTTGTAACTCAGAGTGAACTACAATGTATTTGGTTACACTAGTAGCTTATTAGTTGAGCATAGTGCAGACGTAGGGTGTTGCGACAATATCCATACACAAGTACAGAACATACAAATATACACAATCAGTTTGTACCAAGATGAGTAGATGACACTAATCCTAGAAAGATGACATGCCTCATTCTAAGTGGGTTTTGTAATTTATAAAAAGAGTTTTAAAAGAGTTTTCTTTCTCTAGTATTCTAATTTCTAAAGCTGACATGACTCTAGTGTCAAGCTCTTCTAAAGGAGTTTTCTTTCTCTGGTATTCTAATTTCTAAAGCAACCATGATTAGTGGTTGTTGGTTGCTAGATGAAACTCAACATCTCAATTGCTTATCAGTTCATCAATTTAACCTCAGACATTTGAGCTTTGGATACAATTTTATCAGTTTGCGTTATGAAAACAAACCACAAATATGAACATAATTTTTTTTGCCTCCAAGTATTAAGGATTAGAATGGTCTTGCTGTATTTGACTAGGAGGTACTAAATTTTATTAAAAAGAAAAAAAAATGGTACCTTCTAGTATCTCCCCAAGGTCTCTAAGGATTAAGTGTATAGCTCATTGTATTGCAGGATTAATATCATTATATCGAAATTGGGTCCAAGTGAAAACTTATTATACCGAGCAAATCATATTATATGATTCCTAAATACTAAGAGAATTAACCTTGCCATTATACTGCACATATCTAGTAAGTGCAGAATACATATGACTAACCCAGCAAATTTCATCAACAGAAGCAGCTAATGAACATATTCATTGCAAAACCGAAACATGGTTACCATACCTTACAAGAACTCCAGAGCCGAGACGAAGATGAACCGAAGCATGAAGACCCATCAGCCTAAACAAAGCTTAAATCCGGCGCACACCACTGCCGTCCATGGCGCTAAGGTTCAGGCAGAGCCGAGACGAAGATGAACAAGCGAGGCCTCTGTACTGTTGGCAAGGTTCAGGAAGTTTGGTCGGTGGATTTAAAAAGGGGGCGAGGGCTGGAGTTTAATGGAGGAGGAGATGAGGATAGCTGGGTAGGCGTCGAGGATGCAGCGGGAGTGGCCCTTTCGCGGGAAAGGGGAGGAAGAAGAAGATGAAGAAGGCAACCAAGGGAAGTTTGGTGGTTCCAGCATTCTGTCAAACTCAACTGGAGCGGTTGGGCTGTTGAGTTCTGTGTCCGAACCGAAACACACACAAGCCCCCACTGGAAGTGGTTTTTCTTCCTGCTCCACTTCCAGCTCAAGAATGATGTCCCACTCTCTTGACATTCTACCGGGATGCAGGATTACATGGGTTTGCAGCTAATTTTAAAAACCTTACATTAGTTGTGTTTTGTCATTTGAATTCTGAATTCGGTCTGTCTGCAATATGTTTGCTCATGATGCAGAAACTGTTTCAACCAAGATGAGTATGACTGGTGCATATGGGTTCGTAAAATGTCACAATGCGTGTAATTTTGCTTTCAGAAAATCTTGTGCAGTTATTCTTAGGCCTGAGAAGAGCAATCTGAACTACCTAGCCATATAGGGGATTGATGTGCCACCTTATGCGTGGTGTTAAGCTAATGAACACAATTCGGTAAAATGATTCTGTCAGCTTTTGAGGTTTTAGACCAAATCACTGCACCATAAATCACATGACGTCAGTTTATCACGCTGCTAGGGAAGTGAAGCAAGTCATACACTATCGTCGTCCTAGCATGACAGAAATGTGCATCACAATACATTCTTACCAGTTTTCTATAGATTAGGTACGCACATATAGAATACGGTTTCAATGAAAAGGGTCATCACGTTGGTCCAGAAAACCATCTATACCATATAGTACAGTTCGAGCACCGGATGAACTAGTTACTAGATACTGTATGGAATTAGACAGTGACGTAGGATGCACAACCTGCTTGAAAAAGGGCAAAGCTATCCTGCATTTATCATCAGTTGGAAGATTGCATCGGTGGGAAGCTAAGATGTAACATCTGGGAATGGAGCGAAAGCACAATATGCAGTAGTGCAGACATACCTCACCCAGTGGTGGGTCATGTGAAGTAAACTCAGCACCAAACCCCTTCTTGAGCCTTGGTGTAGTAGTAGTAGTAGACTGTGAGCAAGTAGTATTTTTCGCACACAGGACATTGGCTGATGAGCGATCAAATCGACACTGCAAAACCCTACTAAGATAAGGATTTGGTGGTGATTTGCAAATGAAAGGTACGTAATGGGAAGAATTAGACCAACGCATGTTTATGCTCTATGCTTACATTACATCCGAAATAAATGTTGTGTTCCATACTTCCATGCTTAGCGATTAAATAAAGTATAGCAGTCATTAGTTATTCCATAATCACAATCATTCAGGAACACCAATTGTGTAGCATTTCTCCATTTAGAAAAAAAAGAAGAAAAGATTTGTCGTGTTCAGAACTTCAGGCTCAACAATCTTGCGGGCGTTTTCTTTTGTTTTCGGAAATGGTGACACTCGTTTCAGATGGTGTCCTGTGTCACACAAGTTATGTGTGTTGCACAGCCATTCCTCTAGCAGATTTCTCTCGACGTGGTTGCGTGGTCTTTGCAATGTCAAGAAGGGTGGGGGTTAGCCGGTTAGGCTGTCTGTCATGGATCAATCACCGTCAGTTTTGCACCCTAATTGAGCTTCTGCCTAATTAATATCGTCCACTAAATAACAGTGCTTTTCATCAAACTGTTGTCCGGTGGATGGACCAGTCGCCAAAAGTTGAGAGAAATTTCCCTCAAAAAAAAAAGTTGAGAGAAAAATTTACTACTCTGCTTCGTTGAAAAAAAGCTGTCCAGCGAAATAAATCCTACCTAGACACAGTGGCGGAGACAGGATAAAATTATAGTGGAGGCTTCTCAGGGCCTGTTCACTTTGTTGCCAAAAAAAAACCTTACCAAAATTTAGCATTTGCCAAAATTTTTGCAGAGTTACCAAAATTTTGGTAGGATTTCTTATATAGTTATCAAAATTTAGCAGCAAACTAAATATAGCCATTTTTTTTGCAACTTTACAAAAATTTGGTAAGGTTGAAAATGGCATCAAAGTGAACAGGCCCTCAGTCTTTTGGGTTTTTGGGTCTTCTAAAAATCAGACAAAAGTCTATTTTAGCCCCCTTCAATAGATATATGGATTGGGTAGTGGTTTTTAACCCCCTTCAATAGATATATGGATTGGGTAGTGGGGTCGAAAGAACCCTCCCCTCCCCCCATGCTGACTCCGCCACTGCGTAGACACAGCAAGATCACAACATCGTGATTTCCCCGACACGTTTTCAAGTTAAAGTGCGCATCCTGACCCATCAACCATGGGTCACCTAGGTCACAGTCACATTAGATCTGTTCCACCACAGGTCCAACCGGAGTTATAACTTTAGATTCTAGGCCTATACAACCCAAAAGACTAGTCTGATGGATGAGCATCATTCCTATCTTTTAAGTCGTGTTTCTCTATCGTCAATTATCGATGTGGGATTACACCCAACACCGTCGACGGCGAAGGCCACGTCGTCGCGGAAGCGAGACGGCAGACCGCCCGGCGGGTGGCCGCGCCTGCAGCAGCATATGCAGCGTTCGGGGATGCCTGGATGGCTGGGTTTGAGTTGGGCTAGTCACCTAGTTTCACCGTGGGCCCAATTCGGTTGGGATCCCATCCCACGGCGGAAGCCCAAGTCGAGCCGAGCCGCATGGGCGGCGCCGCTGCCCACCACCGCACCAGGCCACCACCACAACACCTCGGTGGCTCGGTGCGCACGCACTCGCGCTTGCGGCCACGCGCGATGCGACGCGACCCGACTTTTTCCCCCCTGCGCGTACGCGTGATGGCGCGTGAGGACGGAGAAGATGAGACGGGAGGAGGAGGAGGAAGAGAAGGGGCCCATCCATTCCATCGCCCGACGCGGCCCGCTGCGGAGAAGAGGAGGTATCGAAGCCATAGCTCTCTCCCGTCTCCTCTCCTCTCCTCTCCTCCCCTCCTCCGCCGATGGGGAGGATTCCTTCCATTCCATCCGCGCATCCGCTGCCTCCGCGGAATCCGAGTTCCGCGTACTGCGCTGATCTCCGGCATCGGATTTCGGAGAGGGTGGGGTGTTCTCTCCGCTCGGGGTTGTTCCACTCGGTTCTGAACTGGGAGTGTGAGTGTGCAGGGCAAGGTTGTTGGGATTTCACGTCGGGTAGAGACTACCGCGACTGTCCTAGTTATGTCAGTGCCGTTGTATTTTTATACAAAGCGGTAGATCTGGTGGAAGGATATGAACTGTTGCAGATAATTGTTGATTCTGATTTGTACTGGTGTGACATGTGCCCCCATGTGTTCAACTTGTGTAGTACATGTTTTCTGATGCTTGGATTGTTTATTCAGTCTGGAATTCTACTTATGTTTTTCTGATTTGTACTTGCTGAGTATCTGTGCTTCTAGAATTACCTCCCATACAAAAATTAGATTTGGAGCTCTGGTTTATTTTGGTACTAGTAGCTTGTTGATGGACCTCTTATTTATATCTAAACTAATTGACCGCATCTTGTATTGAACTAGTAGTTTCTGATGCTTCAGATCGGATTGTACTCTACATGATAAGAAAGTATGGCACCAGCAAACAAAGCAGAGAGAAAAGCAGTGCTGGATGCTGGAGCATGGATGTTCAACGTTGTGACATCAGTTGGTATCATCATGGTCAACAAGGCATTAATGGCCACACATGGTTTTAGTTTTGGTAAGACATGCTATAATTCCTCACTCGTGGTTGAATTGTCAAGAATGCCTTGTCCGCACGTCTTATGGATAGTTGGACTAAACCGAACTATCGTTGTGCAGCAAACCAGTCAGATTTTTTGTGCTAATGATGTGTTCCATTGTGTGTTTGTGCAGCTACAACATTGACTGGATTGCATTTTGCAACCACAACCTTGATGACATTAGTAATGAAATGGTTGGGACATATTCAGCCATCCTATTTACCATTGCCAGAACTCGTTAAATTCGTCTTTTTTGCAAACTTATCAATTGTTGGGATGAATGTTAGTTTGATGTGGAACTCTGTTGGATTCTATCAGGTGGGAAGAGTAATTTTAAATCCTTCTATATTCAATGTTAGAATGGAGGGCACATACTAATTTTCGTTTCATGCCTCTTCAGATTGCCAAGTTGTGTATTATTCCAGTCTTGTGCATTCTGGAAATCCTGTTTGACAAAGTCCGTTACTCAAGGAATACAAAACTCAGTATAGTGCTTGTTTTAGTAGGAGTTGCTGTATGTACTGTGACTGATGTTAGTGTGAATTCAAAAGGGCTGCTAGCAGCTGTAATTGCAGTTTGGAGCACAGCACTACAGCAGCATGTGAGTATTTGATTGTGCACATTTTGACGTATTCCATGCCCTAGTGATAACTGCTCTGTTTGGCTCCTTTTTAAATACCTTGGCTTCTGAATGAGCAGTTTCAGTTCAAATTACGTCGCATATGGTACATTACATTTACATATTTTCCAAACTGTTCGTGTGAATTCAGTCTGATTTATCTCATTCTGTAATCTGGATTTCTGTCGATATTTGCTTGCTTCTAACTGCTGTACTGATTACTCATGTTCAAAGGAAATGTTCAATAGTAACTTGTATCTAAAAGAGTTGCAAATATTTAGTCTTACTCATTTATCTGCTAACAGAAATTTTGTCCCTCGCTGCTGTTTTCACTTTTAATGGTGAGGTTTTGGATAATTAGCACTTGTTTTATTCCAGTTATTTTTCTTTCATGCTGCAGTACGTTCATCACCTTCAAAAGAAGTACTCGCTTGGCTCATTCAACCTATTGGGTCATACTGCTCCAGCTCAGGCAGCATCCCTGTTAATACTGGGGCCTTTTGTGGACTTCTGGCTGACCAATAGAAGAGTTGATACTTTCAATTACACAACAATAGTTACGGTATGTGATTCTTGTTTTGAATCAGTTCTCTGCTTATTCTCTTGTGAACTTGTTGCATTACAGTCCCATTTGGCTCTATGCAGCTATTTCGGCATTATAAACTGTACATAGCTGTAGATGAATCCGTTTTGAGTTAGATACTGATGACCATGAAGAGTTTACCATATCCTGTAACCACCAGATTTATCTCCTGGATTTGGTCCATGAATTACGATTTAGGCTGGAAAGGAATATTTTAAGTTCTGTTTTGATATAAGTTTACAGCAGCTTTAAAGATATTTTTTTTGAACATTGTATTATCCAAGTGTTATTAGATATTAGAGTACTGGCAGTGATTCTTTTCAATCCCTTTTGTGCATGTTCATTACCTCTCTATAATGGATCAACCACCTAACTGCTAGTAGTTAGTAAGCTACCTTGCACATTACAGTTGAAACTTGAAATGTGTTTTTACAGTATGGTCCCTCCTTCAAATAGTACAGAAGTATATGAATAGTTCTTTGTTGCACAATAGCAATTTTGCTTCTTATATATACTTCATGGAGATTAAGAGATACCTAGTTGCCTACACTGTTTCTTCTATCTATGAATAAAATTTTATGGAATGAGCATGACATGTATGGTTTTTTATCATAGCAGTGCAGACCTGATGTTCCCTTGACTTTTACATATTCCTTACATGAGCAAACTGGGACTAATGCTTTCTTCTTCACTCACTTAATTTCCAGTTCTTCATTGTATTGTCGTGCACAATTGCTGTTGGGACCAATCTAAGCCAGTTCATATGCATTGGAAGATTCACAGCTGTCTCATTTCAAGTTCTAGGCCATATGAAGACGATTCTTGTATTGACCTTGGGTTTTCTTTTCTTTGGAAAAGAGGGCCTTAATTTTCACGTAGTCCTTGGCATGATGCTTGCTGTGATTGGCATGATTTGGTACGGGAATGCTTCGTCAAAACCGGGAGGCAAAGAGAGGCAGATTTACTCGGTGCCCAGCGAGAAAACTCAGAAGTCATCACAATCAGAGCTTGACCAGAAGGTCTGAAACAAAGTTGTTTCACTATTTTTACAGCTCCATTGCTTAGCGAGCATTGAGAAGACCACGATCTGATTTATTCTTTTTTTTTCTGGTAAGTTTAAAGATGTTTCTGTACAACTGAAATTCATACCAGACAAACAGAATATGGCAGGAACTAAGCGCGACGATAATTTAATTTGTAATATTCCATTGAGTAACTGCATATATGATGGAAAGATATTTTCAGCTGTGATGTTCCGTTTACTAACTGCGTACATAAAATCGATTGGTCTTCACTTTGATATTAGCTATTCCAGCTTAGCCTGGCAGTATCAATGTATCATGTTATGGCACGTGGAGTCGGTGGAGAAGTGGCTGAGCAACACTGGTCCTTTTCATGTATACCGGCTCCAGTAAGCCCATTCCACCTCATAACCTCGTACTCATAGCCTTATGCTGCTATGGACTGCATCCAAGTAATTGCAGACATCAAACCTCATACCACGTTATTAACAGGTCAATATGTCAACAACACAACACAGCAACATTGAAGAGGTTTAAGAGAATTTCAAGGGCGCCTCCAAGGATAAAAATAAAAAAAGAAAATTCCAGGGCTATAAAACTGAACTCACAGTCTTCAAAATGGTCATCCTATTCAAAATCAAACAAAACACAACCTAAACAATATATCAAGTAACTCTCCAGGCCACAAATATTAGAAGTGCCAACACTGCAAATAAGCATTGCCTCTGATTTCATCCCCTTGCATCCCCACCTCTTGTATCTCATAATTCCCAACATTTTACTGTCTCAGCAGTTTTCAAATCTCTCGTATAAAAATCCCTTAATGCTTCTTATATTCAAAGATGCATATTGCACTAACCAACTACCTGAACATACTCATATCAGAGTGGATGAAAGCCGTTTGAGATACAAACGGAACGCTGGGATACATGCCTGCCAGAGCACACCTCATGCACTCAAGAACTGTGGATATCTGAATGAAGGCAATCGTCATCCAGAAAAACACCATTGGTTTACCCTGATAAACAATGCTTGGATTCCAGTTGCACATGGTCGCCAGAGCTTGAGAACCAGTATCAAGGAGAATAGCCAATATGACGTGATACCGCAAGAAGTGTGGCAACCACTTCCGCCTGACCACAAAGAAGTAGACGGTCATGAAGATCATCAGAAAGAGCCATCCTGGGACTAACGCCATTGTGTCGATGAATGCATAGAACAACCCAAACTGCTGCAAGTATGGATGAAGCTGGTACACAGCATCTGCAAAGGACCACATGTTGTGCAGCGGCAGAAGATAGGGGACACACGCTAAGGTCCTCCACCACCATCTAGGTTTGGTCTCCAACTCAGGGAAGCTGAATGATGATAAAGATGCTCGACAGCCAACTTGAGTTCTAGGACGTAACTTGTCAATTGACAGCAATGGTTTGATGCCTTTGATAGGATCATACTTTGTGAATAATGAAGAGGCAGCACCAACTGAAACAAAGAAATAACATGTTATAAATATGAATTCATACACCTTAAAAAAAGAAAAAAGAAGCTGATAAGTAACTTAATCACAATTGATGCACCGTTTAAGATAGAGTAACAAGTCTACAAACATCAAGTGTGCGTTCACTATAACTATGGTAATTGTAAACTTGTATCCCAATAAAAATAAAACTTCTCAGAACAATCATTTTCCTGAAAGACCATCATCCAGGATTTCACCCCTGTATGCATAACAATTTTCAGTTTTTCTCCACTTGTTAGTGTATGGGCAGTAACGAGCTTATATTGTCATCCAATGCAAAATTACACATATGCAAGAAAATCAGTACCTCTCAAAGGATGCTTTTTACTGTCATGACGAAGTGCGGGAGCACGCAGATTCAGAAACGCCGGCCCAGCACGCGATCCTACAGGGCCACCATGGCGGCTGGCGGCAGGAAAACCGAGCACCCGAGCATTCGCGGTCGCAGTAACTTGAGCCATTGAATTCAGCTGGGCATTCCCCAGGGACGGGCCTGAGATGGGGTATGGATGATCATTTCAACCCCAATTTGACGGGGAACAAACTGTCTGCTATTAGTACTTACTAAGGGTAACGCAAAAGGGAAAAGCATCCAGATCTAATAAGAGAGCTAGGGTTGAACGCGAATTCGAGAAGAAGAATGGGCGGAGAGAGATGAGAAAGAGGATGCGGGTAACAGGACGTGTGGATGCTCACCGGCGAGAGCGAGGAGGCGGCGGAAGGAGCAGGGGGACGCCGACGCCGGAGCCGGCGCCGCTGCTCGTAGGATGGAGATAAGCTCGGGCGGCGGGCGGACTCGCTCGGACACGGGGAGTCGAAGACGAGGCGACGGGGAGATTGACTATGAACCGAGTAGGGAGATGGCATTGGGCCCGGTTCACCTATTAGGGCCCAGCATCCTAATTACGATGAATTTTGGTACTAAGTTCACTTTTGATCCCTCATTTGAGATCGAGTTTCAAACACATCCCTAAATTGCAATACCAGAAATCTTAACATCTAACTTATAAAACCGAGTTAAAGTAGGTACTTCGACAGTATCTATGGCTGGTTTCGCTAACGTGGCAAGTTGACCCGGTCCACTCGTGCTGACCAAGCGCTTATTTGGCAAAAATAAAAGTGAGCCCCACATGTCATCTACAATCTACTCACCTCCCCCCCTACCTCTCCTCTTTCTCTCCATCTCTCCCCCTCATTCCTCTGGAGTTCGATGCATCAAGTGTTCTGGCAAGGAACAGCGCCCAGCGGGTAGGAATGACTTGGGGATGGTTAGGAGATGCGATGTGGTGGTGGCGGCTGCCATCGCAACCATGGCAGCAAGGAGGTGGAGTGGGGTTGGGGGTGGCTCAGGAACGACCGGAAACAGGGCAGCTGACATCGGAGACGGCCGTGAGGTCGCATAAAACCGCCCAACTCGGTAACGGTGGAGAAGAGAGGGACGGCGGCGAGGTCACTCCCTTCCCTCTTCCTCCAGATCCGCGCATCATTCCGCCATTGCCAACGGTGTCAACAAGCATGATGATGTGGTCGATCAAGCGGCATTCCGACGAGCTCATCGCTGACATCCATGTCATCGAATGGGTTCAGCTCTCAGACCCCTCCTCTGTGGCCCATCGAATCGACCACCACCACCAACACCCATCCTTCCTATGCAACCATTGTGGCGCTCGAGGAACCTAGCAGACAAGGATGCATGATAGAGGCTGAGCGATTTCGGGGCACACAGCGGTGGCGACGGAGTCTATGAGAGAGTTGTTTGACCCACATCGGCCCACCGTGATGTGGAGGGAGGAGGGAAGTAAGGCTGTGAGGTGGAGGCGATGATCCATCGAGAGCCAGCGGAGTCCAACTTTCATACATACATCATACCACCATTCATCAAAACCCTCTACGGGATTAGTAGATAGGCTTATGATAGACACATACACCCCTTTTGTACTTGTGTTCTCCATATATAAATAAAGCAACCTCCCCAAACTGACAGGACGTAGGATTATTACTCTAAGGAGGGCTTAAACCTGTGTAAAAATCGTACCTTGTCTGATTGGCATTCCCTCGATAACACACAAACATGACACATGTATACAAAGTTTCTATTGTCAGGATTTTTATCGATAACAATAATATATACTATAATTACAAACCAAGCTAGCCCGTGCATTGCACATGTTATTGTTATTGATATTATAATTATCCAAACTTTAATTATACATATTATTAAAAAATATTATCACTGTTATTTTAGATAGCGGTATATACATTAGTTACAACCTATATATTAATCCACACACTTACTAACCAAATCTTCCAGGTTAATTTTTTTTTACAATTCTTAAGAAAACAACTAAGCTACTAAATTTTATACTAAATTTTAGTACCTCAAAGTACCAAGTATTTGGAGGTATTGAGTTTTATACTAGAAAATGTACTTCTATACTTTCCATTACATTTCTAAGGATGGCTAAATTACCATTCTTTTTAACACGTGGGAGGTACGAGTATTGCCCAATTTTTATAGATATAGATAAATACTAGTGATTGTCTAAATGGCAATTGATCTAAGAACTATATAGAGCAATAATGATAAGAGTTAAGACAACTAAATAAAGTATGAGCGCCAAGATATTATGATGGAGTTATTGTCATTGCACGAGATTAATTAGTGTGTATCTCCTCTGAGGATTGGCATGATCCTTCTGAAACTATACCCAAAACTAACAGCAAGCAAGGATATTAACTTAGAAGTTACAACACAAACTTTACTAGCTTATACCCTTACCTGCCATTACCCAGCTTCCGGAAGGCAGCACCTTGCGTGTGTGTCACTCACACCCAGTCAAGCAAAACCTGATCAACGACCAAACGAGTTGCAACACAACCGTGATCAAGATTCGTCTAACCTAAACTTGACTTGATCTAGCTTAATTAATCGATCGATCCCCTAATTAGCTATACTAGCTCCTGTTGCTCCTCTTCATCGATCATCCCATGGCGCCATTGAAAGGCGAGCTCCAGTTGGCCGAGTAGCCGTTCGCCCTCGCGATGCTCACCGTCGACGCCGAGCCCTGCGACAGCTGGTACCCGCCGCCGGCGGCGCCGCTCGCCATCGCCATGGCGTCGTACCCGATGAGCTTCCCCTGCTCCTCGTTGCCGTAGCTGCAGGTGTTTCCATGGTTGGTGGCCGTGCTGCTGTGCCCCTGGTCGGCCACGACGGTGCTCGCCGGCATCAAGAAGGCGTTGCCACCGAGGCCCTGGTACCCGCCGCCGCCGCCGTTGTAGACCGTCGAGCTCGACGACGCCTGGAAGAAGTTGTGGGCGGCGGCGCTGCCGAGGTGCAGCTGCTGGAGGTCCTGGAGGCTGTGCGCGGCGGCAGCGACGGCGGCGTCCTGCTCGGGCTTGCACCACCCGCGCGACGGCGCCGCCGGCGCCTGGCCGTACGGGTAGTGCACGGCGAGCGGCGGCGGCTGCTGGAACGCGATGGTCGGCCAGCCGTGGTGGTGGTGGTGGTGGTACGAGGCGGCGTAGGCGCCCATCCCGACGTCGGCCAGGCCGGAGATGACGCCGGCGCCGTCCATGTCGGCGGCGCGCCAGATGGTGGCGCCGGCCGCCTCCGCGTGGTCCGCCGCCTCCTTCAGCCGCCTCGCCGCGCCGCCCACCGGCAGCGTGCTGCTCTCCAGGATGCTCTTGACGTCGTAGCGGCTCATGTCAAAGTTGGTGACGGCGTTGAGCCCCCGGAACTTGATCGCCGCGATGTCGTACGCCTCCGCCGCCTCCTCCTCGGTGCCTATACGCAACGATTATCATCATGATCAGATGCATATGATTAGGGTTTTTGTTTCCCAAACGCATGTGTGCAACATGTTCCATATTGCATGCATGCATGCACGCATGGACGGTGCAAGCAAAGGGCAAAGCTAGAGCTGTGTGATTAAAATTCAAAGGGGCTAGGGTTTTCTACTTGGCCCTTGACTCCATGCCCCGGTTTTCTCAGACAACTTTGAGACAAAAACTTTGAAAGGTACATTTCGGACATAGTTAATGCGCTAACTGGGAGTACTACTATTTTATGCGCCATAGGGCAACATATAGAATATCTAATCTTCAGTTCTACGAGACGTACGAAGATTTCAAGAAAAAAGGACTAAATTAGTACGGGTCGATGACTTAGATCTTGGGGATATAACACTATGACTAGTCATTGATTAGTTTTAAGGATCTTCATTAGGAGAGCGATTAAGTTTAGATGAGACAGGTCTAAGATCAGTGTAGCAGCTTACTGAAGGTGCCTAAGTAGAGGTCCTTGTTTCCTGCAACCCTCCCTATCCTTGCTTGCCATCTCCCATGCTGATGGTGCCTGCTCAAAAATTATATGTTAATCTATATTACAACATTGGAACACCAAAATATCACTACAAAATTTAAGCATATACAGTTAACATGAGCCGTGTACATATATGTTGACATAGCTTAGAGATTAGTAGTTCATAATACATATAAATAAGGACAACAAGCACATCTAGTACATTGCGTGCTTTTTTGTATACTACTAGCTAGGAAGAAAACATAAATCAATTAATTACCTGGTTACACCACGATATTTCGATGCACCACGAGAAAATCCACTGCTATTCCTGCATATTTAATTAATGAAATCATATCTCAGTGTGATAGTCTGATATTCTGGGAGTGATAATTCCATATGGTGAAACATCAGTTACCTTCTTAGGTATGCAATATACTCCTGCCTGGTCATATGTTTCATTTCATCTAGCTCTTTTTCATAGTTACTTATCTGCAGTGAAATTTTATAATAAAAAAGGGAAAATGCAATCAACAAGTGCACAATTTAATTTTTATATACTGTATTATAAGTGGTGTGTAGAAAACTATGATCTATTAACAAGCTAGCTAGAAAACTAAAACGACAAACTTATATGTTTAATTTCTTACTGGGAAATTTGTTGTTGTTGTTGTGCCCCAATACTTCAGAGCTGCCAAATCATAAGCTCTCGCTGCTTTATCCTCCTTGTCATAGCCACCTGAGTAGTCGTGATACAAGTATAATGATTGTGCAGTCACTAATATAGTTATATACAATGAAAAAAAAACTGAAGGCGTTTGCATGCATACCAAGATAAACTGCGCATTGCGGAGCATAACGGTGTCATTCCGGATAGAGTCATTAGGCGATGGGGAACAGACGAATTGAAAGAATGCTTAATCAGTACTGTAAATTAAGTGTACATATATACATACGTAGTGTTATGCTGGAGGGAGAAAAGAGATGATATATAATCATTTTGCATTACCTTGCCTACCCTTGCGACTCTGCCCTTCTCTTCTACAGCTATTATCCCAGAGATGAGCCTCATATCGCCCTGTCCATCTATGCCTGAAACCAACAATTTCAAGAGCAGGTAATTTACTAAAGCTCATATGCATGCTATTAAGATTCAAAATCACGTCTGAAAAAAAAATATAAACATTGGTTGACATCCTTGCATGTTCGATCTAAGCGCATATGTGTGCAATAGAACATTAGTGAGAAAAATTAATAAGCAAAAGTATTAGCATGTTTTTGATCTTTTTTCAATTGGTTAGAATATGGGCAATACCAGAATTAGTAATATCGTATCTATCAACAATTACCAATACTAGTGTGGCTCCTATTTCTTGTGAACAAAATTATTTACTTCCCAATCGTATATTTAGCTTGTTAACGAAGTTAGTCTAACTCCATACTAATTCCGTATCATCAACATCTAATTTCATTGTCCTCCTTTTCTTAGATCAATGAACTTTCTACATATATAGCCTATACCCAATTACCTTTCCAAAGGATCACATAAACTATATACTAACTCAAAGTTGCATATATAGCCACTGTCTCGATCGAGCGATTGCATTATTATTTATCTAAATTCGATTGCAGTTAGCTAGCTATCTAGTATAGAACCATAGATCTGATGATAGTTTATGTTCTCGATAGATCGATCGCGCCTCGACTCAAAAAGGAGATCATTAATTTTCTAACTAACGGTGCCTTCCATTTGAAAGGAATCAGCAATCCATCATCGATCAGTATGTAGGCATGTAGCTAGCCATAGTAGCATAGACAAACCAATATTGTTCTAACCTTGTTACACCTCGATATATCGAGGTCCTTTGCCCGAACGTGTCGATGGACTTCCTCGGCACGGCCTCTATCGCGCCACCGCCCGGCGAATCCATGGCGCCGCTGGCCCGCTTGTTCTCCGACGATGTGCTCTCGGCCGCTCCGCCGCTGGCGTTCCCGCCGCCGGCGACGACGATAGGCAGGTGCGAGTGCGAGCCCGTGCTCATCGAGAGCGCCAGGCTCTGCGAGCTCGTCCCGCCGGCCGCCGCCGAGACCGCGCCGCCGTTGTTACTCCTCCCCATCGCGTCGGAGGAGCACCCGAAGCTGCTCGCGCTCGCGTCGGTGCTCATCTCCGCCGCCTCGTGCGCCTGCTGCTGCGCGGCGGCGGCCGCGGCCGCCGGCTGCTGCTGCTGCGGCTGGTGGCCGGCGGGCACCTGGCCGTTGTTCCGGAGCCAGGTCTTGATCATGGAGAGCTCCATAGTGTTGCTCCCGCTGTTGCTGTTGGTGCTGCTGGCCATCGGGACGCCGGAGAAGAGGAAGCCCCCCGCCGCGTGATGATCTTGCTCGGAGACGAACGAGTTGCCGCCGAGGAAGTCCTCCAGCTTCGGCTCGGTCTCCTCCACCGCCGCCGCCCTCTTGCCGCCGCTGGAGCCGACGAGCATCGACAGCTCCGAGGCGCCGCCGTTGTAGTCCAGCCCCCTCATGTTCCAATCTGCGTTAACATCAAATATCAAGATCAAACACCCATCACTCCATGTACTACTAGAAAACGAGAGACACACGCGTGCATGCATACCTTGTGCCTCTTGAGCTCCCCTATTGAAGGCCTCCATGATGCCATACGAGGCGTTGTGATGATGCCCCGCCACGCCGAGGTGCGCGTCGGCCGCCGTCGGCTGCGACGTCGGCAGGCCATAGAAGTCGCCGGCGCCGGAGACGTCGATGGCTGCCGGAGGCGAGCTATCCTGGTGAGGCTGCGGATTCTCTTGGCCGGAGAGCGAGAAGCCCAGCCAGTTGTTTGCAGAAGCCATCTCAGGGGGAGAAGAAGCTGATAGAACAGTGGGATTGGTTTTCTTGCTGATGATCAGAGCAGCAGTGAAAACATTGGTGAGGATGAGAGGAGGGATGTACTAAGTTGGAAGCTGATACGGGGGAGGTATAGCTTTTCCAGGGGATGCACTACATTTTGGGTCAATGTGAAGATGGCAGGAGAGAGAGGCCAAGAAAAAAAATATCCTGGCCACCTGAGAGGAGGGGAAATGTTCTAGGAGGCCTGTATTTATAAGTTAAGAACAGAGTATAGCAGAAGACTAGTCTTAGGCTCTGTTCGTTTCCTGGAGTTCCCAACTCCCCCATCTCATTTTCCGCGCGCACGCTTTTCAAACTGCTAAACGGTGTGTTTTTTGCAAAAAGTTTATATACGAAAGTTGCTTAAAAAAATTATATTGATCCATTTTTGAAAAAAAAATTAGCAAATAATTAATTAATCACGTGCTAATGGACTGCTTCGTTTTCCGTACCGGAGGGATGGGTTCCCAACTCAACCAAAAGAACAGAGCCTTAGACGTTGTGCTGGTAGCTAGCAAGTAGTTATGTTTCTTTTGTTTCGTCAGGATTCTGAAGCTGAAGGGGGCAAAAAAATATTAGAAATGTTCACATTTGAGAACGGATGGAGCTAGCAGTTGTTTACCGTCAGTTAATACATATGGAGAGCAATTTAACTCCTACCAAATCAAGAAAAGTTCAGGCATTCATAAACCATACGGGATATGACAATTGTTTTGTTGAATTATTGTCATATAGTACTATATAGCATGGATCAAGTTCTCCTTTTAATTAGTATGAATCTGAACCCAAACAAAAGACGACATGCATGACATGTAGATCGAGGAGCTCGATCAATCCAAATATATATACCAATGCAAGCAGTGGCGGGAAAGAGCTAGCTAGCCGAATAAATAAGCTTAACAAGAACGAGATCGATCAGGGACGACATATCCTTGGATCTTAATCAATCTATCTTAGACCTTACTCGATCAGAGCTTGGATCCGATAGCGCGCAAGCAAGCAAGTTAAGATCGCCACACTACTATGTATGTATATACGACGTATGTACGTGCACGCGCACGCGTGGATGGATTCACGCTCGGGTCCTAGCGCGCGCGGACGGTTCGTCCCGTCCAACGGCGACGAATCCAGCGAAAGATTCCCGCTCGCGCCGGAGAAAAGAAGAAAAAAATAACCGAGAGCATAGAGAGAGAGACGAAACGCTCGCTGCCTCAACAACGCCGGTCAAACCGCCGCGCACGCACACCTGTGCAGAAAAAAAATCAGTCCAACCCGCCTCTCTCTTCTCTGACATGTCGTGCCGCCGGACGCGCGCGCGCGCGCGTGCGCATCGTCGTTCGTCTCGCGCCCATGGCCCATCTCTCTCGTTCTCTCTCCACTGCTTCCGAGTTCCAACCAGCCATTGCAGCGCGGCGGGCACCACCGATAATAGGGCACAAGGCTAGCCAAGGGCGCGCGCCTAGGCCTGCCCGCTGATCTATAATTATGGTGCTTTCGAGGTGAATCGCTGGATTGGACTGGTATGACGACCCTGCATGCCCAGCCGCCTGATTGACTGTGTTTTTGCAGCGTCCATCGACTTCTGGTTTTAGCAATTGCATGCATGCATGCAAACCGGCCGCCCACCTTACCTTCCGCTCCGATCCGGCGGTGTGTGTGAACATGATCTTGGAAGATGAGATGATGGGATCACATTTGGTAGTTGGAATGCTAAAGTATTGGAGTGTTTGAACTCGATCCACACAAGAAGGGAAATAGAAGGTCGTGAATTCACAATTTAATTATCTTCTTTTTTCCCTTCACAAATATGGAGTTGATTTTTTTTAAGATATGGTATAATTTTTTGAATCTTAATGCACCGAGATGTTAGAAAAAAAATGAGGATTTTTGGTAAAATATCTGTGTTGCATTTTTAACTGTGCAGGTGAACCAGTGATGACATCCCCTAAGAGTTTAGAACATATCACCATGCATAAATAAGTGGCTTAAATTAGCATATTACTCCCTTCATCTACTTTTGATAGTCATATTTCCAAATCTGAAAAATTTATTTTTGATAGGCATATTTTAATCCAACAACCTATCATCTTAATGACTTTCTCGTATTTAATACGTGACTCTCCATTCTTCCATACAAGATTGGCTACATGGACATCGAGAAATGTAAATATTAATGAATCGCTTGTTTACGAGGAATAACTAGTACTCCCTCCATCTACTTTTGATAGTCATATTTTCATATCTGAAAAATTTATTTTTGATAGGCATATTTCAATTCAACAATCTATCATCTTAATAACTTTCTCGTATTTAATGCATGACTCTTCATTCTTCCACACAAGATTGGCTACATGAGCATCGAGAAATGTAAATATTAATGAATCGCTTATTTACGAGGAATGACTAGTATCATGTTTAAATTGATGATGAGTAGAATTACTTATCCTTGGTCTGTGCGTCAAGATGAAATATGACTATCAAAAGTAGATGAAGGGAGTAGCATGTTTAAATGGATGATAATAAGTAGAATTACTTATCCTTGGTCTGTATGTCAAGATGAAATATGACTATCAAAAGTAGATGGAGGGAGTAGCATGTTTAAATGGATGATAATAAGTAGAATTACTTATCCTTGGTCTGTGTGCCAAGATGAAATATGACTATCAAAAGTAGATGGAGGGAGTACAAATTAACAGACCATAAGCCATTAATACAACTATTAATACCTATTTAAAATTTCCAGTCACCTAAAATCTGGACACTCCCCTTTTCTATAGGTGTTTATCGTGAGAAGACAAAATTAATTTGACTCAATTAACCACGCACTCTTTCTAGCTAAGAGCAGGTACAATAGCAGGCTATAAGCTAGCTATAAACATATTTTAAAGTGATAAAGAAAGAGAGAGAAGAGCAGCGGGCTACAGATTTATAGCCAGCTGTAGCACAGACTCTAAGACGTAATGTGTGTATGACAGGTAGGACCATATATTAATAGTATAGTAAGCAACTATTGTATAAATTGACAATTACATTGGCTATAGATGATTTGGAGCTAAGAGTTGTGTCGGTGACATGGGACCGGGAGTATCATGACTAGAGGCTTGAGGCAGACACAATCGCCCACGTGGCCTGGCACCCTCGGGGGACGTCGGACCCGAGGGTGATGTGTGCGCCCACCTCTTGGTCTCCCCGAGGGGGGGGGGTCGGTCGGACCACTCCTGCCTCGCCCCCGAGGGCCGAGGCGCCCCGACCCCTCGCGGGTTCTACTCCGCGTGTATGGGTTAGGTGAGCACAGCGGGGTCTCACCTAATCGCATTTATTGCGCCTCGGCTAAACGTGTCACGCCGCATGAAATACAGTGCAGTGCACTCGATTATCCGGTCTGTGACCAGTCACAGACCGGTCAAATCGCGGGTTAGGTGGCGACAGGCGGTCTGACGCACGCTTCGCCCCATCCCGTCAAGACGAGAGCTTCTAGGCACTCGTCCCCAGCTGGAGCTAGCGTGTTACATCCCAGAGATGGCACGTTAGCCCCGATCGATATATGCCAGGCTTCATCCTAACCATTACAGGCAAGATGTTGTGTGAAGAAGGGCAAACATGCACGTTGCTAGGCTGACGCGTGGTGGACAAGAATGACCGATTTGTGACCGGTCTGACACTGCTCATGTCGTCAGCGCACAGCCACGTTCCCACGACGCGCCTGCCCCCGGCAGAAGTGGAGGTAGGTATGTGCCGTCCCATCAGAAGGACGTTCGGAGGGCAACCGTGCAAATCTCCGTCCATTTATGAAGGGAAGAAAAGTCCAGTTTGAAAAGGAGGGGTGCATGTGGTATCCCCTTGAAGTATAAAAGGAGGACCTTGCCCATGGGGAAAGAGGATGATCTTTTCCAGATTCGGAACCTAGAACAAGTGAGAGGTTGGCTCACACTTGGCCCACTTAGATAGGAGAGGACTTTTGGACACAAGGCCTTCTCCAGATCCGATCCCAGAGCGATTGGGGGCTGGTTGACACTTTGTTACTTGTTCATACACAAATCCACCAAAACACAGGAGTAGGGTATTACGCTTCCCAGCGGCCCGAACCTGTATACATCGCCCGTGTCTCGCGTTTCTTCCTAGCTGGCGATCTTTCCACATACCGAGAGAGCTTGAGATTTCACCCTAAGCCCCCGGCCGAACCGGCAAAGGGGGGCCTGTGCGGTCTCCCGGTGAGGAGCCACGAGCTCCGTCATCTGGCGCGCCAGGTAGGGGGCTCATCGTGTGTTTTCTGAGCTCTCGTACTCCTCTGTGTGCGCCAAGTTTTTCTTGTTCAGCCTAATGGCCGAGCAAGCAAAGGTGCACGACCTCTCTCCGAGTGTGAGCGGCGACGACGGGGAGCCAAACCCACGCCGTCGAGCTCGTACTCCCCCACCTCCTCCACACCAAAATCCTAAGCAGGGGGAGGCGCTCGAGAGTGTCGAAAAATCCGCAGCATCGCCAGTCGCGGGTGATGCAGGAGAACGGCGAGATGGGGAGCGTCGCCTCCTCGTCTACGGCGACGGCAGCACGCCTCAGGGCGCGCTTCAGGCTGTTGGCGCGCTCCTACGTCACCCGCCCGTCGTCCCTGACCCGGAGTCTCCAGCCCAGCGATGGCTGGACGACGTGGCCAACTTGGTCATGACGGCACAGCAGCGCCTGGGTGCTGGTGGACGGTCCGCCACCACCAAGACCTCCGGCGCCGCCACTACCGGCTCCGTGTCGTCAAGGCGGAGGGCGCGGCGAGCGGCGGCTGTTGCACGCCATTCGGCTGCCACTCCCTCGTCGGCACCTCCGACTCGGGAGGATCAGCATGGAGAGCCGGATGCCCGCCTCGACATCGAGCGCTGGCGTAATAGCCGGCGTACTCCCCGCGCAACGGAGGGCGCCTCTTCGTCCAGAGTGTCACCTCGACATGGACGTGAGGACCTGCCCTCCGTGCCCCCGGCTGGTGGTGTCGGCTGTAGAGCCTTTGTGGCGAGTCTTCGGAATGTCCGTTGGCCCCCAAGGTTCCGGCCCACCATCACCGAGAAGTATGATGGGAGTGTCAACCCCACCGAGTTTCTCCAGGTCTATACGACCGGGATTGAGGCCGCTGGGGGTGACGACAGGGTCATGGCGAATTTCTTTCCCATGGCCCTGAAGGGACAGGCGCGGGGTTGGCTAATGAACCTG